GGTGTATGTGGCTGGTGCCTTAGCCACTTGAGCCACAGGCGCTGAGCCCAGAACTTCAGTATTTAAGAGAAGAGGGCGTATAGAAAGAAGGAGGAGGGGGGCAGGCAATAAGGCAAATGGTTACATTATTATAAAGCCTAGGAATCTGCATTTTACATAAGATAAGGTGAATGTTTGAAAAGAAAAAAGGAATGAAGGACAAATCAGTTACTCTAAGGAGATATCCCTGCATGGGTGGAAAAATGTTTGATCTTGTCTCCTCTCTGCTCTGCACCAGAAAAGATGCACTTGAGAACAGACATTGTAGATGCCTGAGGCCTTTTACCTTTCCCTGGGGATCAATCTGGCCAATGCATAATGTTAGTAACAACTATTCATTTGGAAGGGGGTGAACAGGACGCCTCTAGGGTTGGCCTTCCTTTTGTATAAGTAGTTGAGGGTGAGGGCTGATCCTGAGTTTTTTATTTTCCTTTATAAGAGAATGTCAAGAAAAGTCTCTGGGGCTGCTTGGGCAGAAGAGCTCCCTCTAGGCATCCTAGAGGTCACTTTCCTTAGTGTGGGGTATCTCTAGGGTTTCCCTCAGTTCTCTCTAAGGCACGAGGGCAGAAATTTAGCATATGTTTACTTTGGCCATTCTTGCTGACCCTGAACTGTAATCAAATTTTACAACTTTTCTTAATAATTCCAAATCATATGGAAAATGGTGGCACAATTCAATAGAAAGTGCTCCCCTGGAATGTTCACCCCACCTTTGATGCTTTGTCTACATTGCCTCTTATTCATATACATTTCTTTGGATCCATTTGTGGACTTTTCAAGTGCATCACCCTCTGGTATCTGGTCTCCCTGAACTGTCACTGTGTAACATGTCTGCAGTTCTCTCTGGAGATAAGACTTTTCACCTGGGCAATGAAAAGTCCCTACAAACCCCTTAGTGAAGTCATTACTTATGATACTGACTTCTGCTTAGGTTTTGGCAGAAGCTTTTAAAGAATTCTAGCTTCAAAAGACGGAGTGATTTCAACTACAAAATTGTGTTGAATATACCTATTTCTTTTCCAAATGAAAAGTGACAAAATTAAAGCCTCATACCAAGAAAAGTATTATGATGTCATTTTTTTTTTTCCAATTTGGGAAAAATGTTCCTTCAACCTTCTCTGAAATGCAACTATTACCATTTTCTGTACTCAGGAGGGACGCCGTAGTGGCAGCCCAGAATTTTTTCTGTGCCGGCTGTGGAACTCCAATAGAGCCTAGTAAGTATGGGGAATGGATTGCCTGCTTATGGTGTGTTGCCAGGGTCAAGAATCACAAGGTCAGGCCGTGCTCTGTTCTTGTGGGAGACTCCCTTGATGGGGAGCTGTTACAAGAACTCCTTGGAAGTTGCTCTCTCTCTCATGAAGGCATCGTGACCTCCAAGGCTGTGTGACCAGCCACGAATGAGGAAAACTAGACTGGCAGTTCTCTTCCCCCTTGGGCACTAAGCTCCAGCCACATGGTCTCCCTCTTGGCCTTGAAGTTGCCAGCTCACTCCTGACTCAGGAATATGCAATTGTGGTTTTCTGTCCTTGAGAAGTTCTCCCTGCAAATACCCCTAAGGCTGATTCCTTTTTTCCTTCACATCTTCACCCCAAAGTCCTGAGGTCTTCTCTGGATTCTCTCTTGAAAATGCCCACCTCACTGCACTCCTGGCTACAAACAATCAGATGTACACTGTATGTTACCTAATAATAACTTTGATTTCCTCTCTTAGCATACTAAGAATATTCTATTGTTTTATATTTTTGCTGATTAATCTTAGTATTGTCTGTCTTCATCAGCAGATTCTAAGTTCTGTCAGAACAGATATGTTGTGTGTTTGATTCGTGATTTTATTCTCAGCTTCTACAATAGTGCCTGACACATAGTTCGTCCATGAAAGGTATTTGTTGAGTGCATGGTGGCTTACCAAGAAGGTAGCCAAACTTTTCTGAATTTGAGGAGGTAGCCTGAGAGGACCATTCTGGGGCCACCTGAGGCCTAGAAAATGCAAGTTTCCCACTTGAGACTGGGAATCTCTTGTTCTGGTGTGAGGGCATCCTTAGGTCTGACCTGTAGAAGGCTGGGAAGACGAGCTTGGCAGAAAGAGTTCTCTTGGCTTTTGATAGTCGGTGTTTGAAGGAAAAAAGACTTTGAGGAGGTCTGCTTTAAGAAATGAAAATAAAATTAGAAATCTGTCAGGACTATGATGACAATGCTGACAATGCTGACAAGCATTATAGTTTCTAACTAATTTGCTTTCAGTGACTCATTTTCCCGTTAGTCTAGCAGGGACTATGTCTGTTTGGTTAACCATTGTTTCCTGGTACCTCAGTAAATATTGCATGCATGAGTAAGAAACTGTCGGCACGTGACTATGATTTCAGTTTTTTAAGTACTTTCCTAAGTTTATTCACATGTGGAGATGTGTCCAGGCACAGTGGTTCAGATCTATAATCTCAGCACTTTGGGAGGCTGAAGTGGGAGCATCACTTGAAACCAGTTCAAGACCAGCCTGGGTAACATAGTGAGACCCCTTCTCTACAAAAAAATAAAAAATTCTGTTGAGTCATGGGTGTGTACCTATAGTCCCTTCTGTCTTGGAAGGCTGAGCCCAGGATTTTAAGGATGCAGTAAGCTGTGATCTTGACACTGCACTGCAGCCTGGGCAACAGAGTGAGGCCCTATCTCTAAACACAAACCAACCAACCAACAAATATGGAGATGTGTGTCTGCCCTGTTGGTATAGTGATGGATCTGGCCAACATGGACCTACCCTCAAGGATCTTGCTTACCGTCTTATAGGGAAGACATCAGCCAGGTAACTAAATAACAAGGGTGATGGATATAATGAAAGAAAAATTCAAGAGAGCTATGGGATTTATAGAAAGGAAGCTTAATCTGGGTTTGGGAGGGCTGGGAGTAAGAGGTTTGATAAGGATGTGATTGTCTCCAGAAAGGGGGGTGGGTGTTCATCATATGTAAAGAGCCTGTGGCAGTTGAAAAGCAGCCTTATGTGATTAGGGAGTAAGAATAAGAGGAAGGAAAGACAGGCCACAGATTGTAGACAGCATATAAATAATTGGGGGCTTTTCTTATGAACTTCCTCTAGCTGTTAGGATAAGTTTTTTTTTTTTTTATTCTGAGATAATTTTAGACTTACAGAAGAGTTGCAAAAATAGTACAGTGAGTTCCCATATACCCTTGGCCCAGCTTTCCCTAATGTTAACATCTTACATAATGAACAGTATCATTATGAACTCTGAGAAATTAGAATTGGTATAGTCTGATTAACTAAGCCACAGGCTTTATTCAGATTTCAACAGATTTTTTTTTCCCCTAATGTCCTTTATCTGTTTCAGAATTCAATCCAGAATGCCGTATTGCATCAAGTTGTCATGTTCCTTAGTGCCATCCATGGTGAATATATTTTATCCATTAATACTTCCGCAAGTCGGCTCGGCGCCTATAGCTCAACCGGCTAAGGCGCCAGCCACGTACACCTAAGGTGGCGGGTTCGAATCCCCAGCCCGACCCGCCAAACAACAATGACGGCTAGCCGGGCGTTGTGGCAGGCACCTGTGGTCCCAGCTACTTGGGAGGTGGAGCAGGAGACTCACTTGAGCCCAGGAGTTGGAGGTTGCTGTGAGCTGTAATGCCACGACACTCTACCCAGGGGGACAGCTTGAGGCTCTGTCTCAAAAAAAAAAAAAACAAAAAACAAAACTTCCGCAAGTCCTAAAAATAAGGGGAACTTCCTACACTGCAAAAAAAGCACAACAATTCCCTAATCTTGTCTACTACTAATTCATGTCCATTTATTGACCTCAAGGTGTCGTTTATGGCTAATTTTTCCATGCAGGTTCCAATTAATTTTCTTACATTGCATTTAGTCATTGTTTCCCATTGGTTAGCTTTGTTTTAACACTGTTCAGCCCAACATGGTAGCCACTAGCCCATATGGCCTTTTAAAATTAAATTTAAATTAAAGTTTAAAATTCAGTTCCTCCATCATACTGGCTACATTTCAAGTAATCGTAGCCACATGTAACTGGGGGCGACTGTATTAAACAGCAGAGATATAGAACATTTTCATCCTTACAGAAAGTTAGATTGGACATGCCTGTTCTGGAATATTTCCCTCCTTTTTCCCCCGTGACTTTGACCTTTCATAAAATGAGAGCAGTTGTGTTTTAGAGCAGGATTTCTTTACTTCAGTCCCACTGACTTTGTTGTGAGCAGGTACAGCATAGGTAGCAACCAGTGGCAGCCCCCTAGTGGTGACAACTGAAAATGGCTCCAGACATTTCCAAATGTCCCTTGGGGCAAAATCACCCCTGTCCACGAACAACTGTTTTAGAACGGTTTATTTTGTTCTATTTTAGTTAAAGGCTTAGGACATTAAAAGAGATGGACATAGTTTATTCTGTATTGAAAATATCACACTTTGTATATATATATTCAATGAAATCTGATGAATGCGTGAATGGATATTGAGGTGTTAGGATTTTAGATGTTAGGGAAAGAGGATTTCCATCAGGAAAATTTGTTGATCCCTTCTGTCCTACTTTCTCTTCCTACTGCTAAGTTTGATCAGCTATGTAGGGTGCATGGACCAGGGTTTACCTTTTCATGGTGAAATAACTTTGGCGACCTGAAAAGATAACTCGGACCCCACTTAGATGCAATTAATTGGTGATTTATGTGCACCTGCACAGGGGCCGCTGCTCTGGGAGACAGGCAGTGGCTAAGTGCAGGGCCCACTATCTTTTAATAGTATTTTTTCTCATCTTTTTTTTTTTGAGACAGAGCCTCAAGCTGTCCCCCTGGGTAGAGTGCCATGGCATCTCAGCTCACAGCAACCTCCAACTCCTAGGCTCAAGAGAGTCTCCTGCCTCCGCCTCCCAAGTAGCTGGGACCACAGGCGTCTGCCACAACGCCCGGCTATTTTTTGGTTGCAGCCATCATTGTTGTTTTGGCGGGTCTGGGCTGGGGATTCGAACCCGCCACCTTAGGTGTATGTGGCTGGCGCCTTAGCCGGTTGAGCTATAGGCGCCGAGCCCATCATTTTTGCATAGCTTAAGCAAGCAAGGGGTACAAGGAATGTTGCCATTGGCAGGGTTACAGCTTGGTTGACAATGGATACATCTTAAATCACAATGGTTATAGTTATGTAACAGTGATTAATACAGCCTTGGTTGACAATGGATACATCTTAAATCACAATAGTTTTATATAGCAATGATTAATACAGCCTTGGTGGGTTTCTACCATTGTTCATCCACTGAGAACTTGGGGGATTTTTGTGAAACTTTGTGGGACTTTCATGTGCTTCAACTCTGGGAGGCATGGGAACAGGCTGCAAGAGCCCGTAGGGCGGGGGACAGGCTGGGAAAGAGGGCGGGGGAATGGGAGGTGGGGGGGAAAGAGGACCAGGGAATGGGCTGGGAGTGCTTGCAGCAATGGTTTGTTTAGTGCCAGGTCGCTATTTGTATGTTTGTGTTTTCTGTTGGTGACTTCACTAGTGTTTCTAAGTGCAGGAAGTTCTGTCTCGGGGAGAAAATGTGTGCATTGGTAAGCTTGGTAAGCTTTATCCAGGTGCGAGTTGTAGTGCTTTTGTTACCGAATTCAATGTAAATGAATCTAAATAAATTAAGGTGTCCTTACATTGAAAGACACTTAAAACAAGGTTATGTATTGATCAGCTGATGAAAATGTCATTACTAGGAAACCACCACTATACACTTCACCAGCTCTGACTCATCTAAACTTGTGGCAGCCTCAGTATCTGAGTTTTAAAATATGCATCTTCTGGGATGTTCCTGAGATTGGTTTTCCCATCCCTGTTGGTGATCCACATTTCTTCTCTTCATGTTTTACTTATTCCCATCGTTTATGCTCACAATCCTCCAGCTGGAAGGAGCTTTATATATATTTTAAGAGTTTTATGTCTATTTTTTCTCTCTCAGTGATTTGTCAGGAAGCTCTTCGGGATACTATGAATGTTTCCTAACATTATTCCCTCACCGCATTCTTTACATTTTATAAAGCACTTTTCCTACATGTGATGTCACCTCATCCAGTTCTGAGTTCCTACTCAGACTCTCAGGAGAGGCATCCTGAAGAGATTCTGACCTGCCCTTGGCCTTCTTGCTAGCGAGACACAGTGTCTGATTTCCAGGTCCTAAACCAAATTTTTTTTTAGCAATACTGCAGCTTGTGATGCCTGTCTTCAAAATCCAGGAGTATCTGGGGAGGGTTCTGTTTATTGGACGTCTGTTCTGCTAAGGCAAAGCTCATGAGCGGGCGTCAGTCCCTAAGTCCTTGCTAGTTTTTCCAGCTGTCACAAGGTCAAGTATGGTTTTCATCATGAAAAAGTGATCTGAGTCTTTGAATCTTGCGTAGGAATTGGAGGTGGGGGTGAAGTGGGGGGTAGCCCAGGGTAGGTTTCCCATGCCACACTCACCCCCAGTGTGCTCCGCAGAGTTTGTGAAGCGGCTCCGGTATTGTGAGTACCTGGGGAAGTACTTCTGTGACTGCTGTCACTCGTACGCAGAGTCCTGCATCCCCGCCCGGATTCTGATGATGTGGGACTTCAGGAAGTACCACGTCAGCAATTTCTCCAAACGGTTGCTGGACAGCATATGGCACCAGCCCATTTTCAATTTGCTGAGAATCAGCCAGAGCCTCTATGAGAAAGCCAAGGAGCTGGACAGAGTGAAGGTGAGCAGCCACCTCATCCTGCGTGTCACCCTAGTTTCCTGCCTTCCACAGGTGGACCCTCCCTCTGAGAGGCAGGTGTATCGTAAAGACGGCAGAACTCACACCTTAGGGTCCATTATCTGCACAGGCTCTTTCCACTTCATACTGAATTTTTTTTTTTTTTGGTAGAGACAGAGTCTCACTTTTTCGCCCTCAGTAGAGTGCAGTGGAGTCACAGCTCACAGCAACCTCCAATTCCTGGGCTTAGGTGATTCTTCTGCCTCAGCCTCCCAAGTAGCTGGGACTACAGGTGCCTGCCACAATGCCTGGCTATTTTTTGTTGCAGTTTGGCCGGGGCTGGGCTTGAACCTGCCACCTTCGGTATATGGGGCTGGCGCCCTACTCACTGAGCCACAGGTGCCCCCCATGAATTTTATATTTACATATAGCTTTGTGTTCTGCTTGAAGAAGGCCCCCAAAGTGTGTAAGCTTCAGAGCCCACAAAGCCTGGATCCAGTCAGGGCCCTCCCTGGATCAGTGGACTTGGTTAAGAACTCCTGCTCTATAGGCGGCTTGTTATAAAGGTTTTTTTCCTACCTGTGTAGCATTTCCAGGTTAAGAAAATAACATTTACATTTGACTTGTGCATTGCAGGTATCACTGATCACATTTAACTCTTCCCCCTGTTTGGTCTCTATCTTAGGACATCCAGGAGCAGCTTTTTCATGTCAAGAAGCTGTTGAAGACCTGCAGGTTTGCTGCCAGGTGTGATTCTTGGCTGGGACAGTCCTGCTTCCCTCCACACAGCTGCGGAGCCTCCAAGACCTCCTGTTCCTGGCTCCCCAGTAGCACAGGGCTTCTTGGCTGTCCTTGGGAATGCAGACCACCTCTCTAAAATTACTAAACCCTCTAAGTCACTAGTGGAAGATTTAACTCATTTAGAAGAATGGGCCAGTAAAAGATGAAACACTTTTAGCCAACAGCCTATTTATTAGTAGTATTAAATTGTGGTAAAGACACAGAACATAAAATTAGCCATTTTAACCATTGTAAGTACACAGTTTGGTGGCATTGAGCACATTCACATTGTTGTGCTACTATCACCACCATCCAGCTCTGAGATCTTTTCTTCTTGTAAAACTGAAGTTCTGTACCATTAAACAATTTCCCATTTTCCTCTGCCTCAGCCCTTGGCAGCCACCGTTCTACTTTCTGTATTTATTTATTTATAGGCAGAGTCTCACTTTGTCACCCTGGGTAGAGTGCTGTGGTGTCATAGCTGACAGCAACCTCAAACTCTTGGGCTCAAGCAATCTTCTTGCCTCAGCCTCTCAAGTAGCTGGGACTATAGCCTGCCACAACATCCAGCTAGTTTTTTCGTTTTTTCTTTTTTTTGGCTGGGGCTGGGTTAGAATCGCCACCTCTGGCATAATGGAGCTGGTGCCCCTCTCCTTTGAGCCACAGGTGCCAGCCTAGTTTTTTCTATTTTTAATAGAGATGGGTTCTCACTCTTGCTCTGGCTGGTCTTGAACTTGTGAGCTCAAGCAATCCTCCTGCCTGGGCCTCCCAGAGTGCTAGGATTACAGGTGTGAACCGCCACACTTGGCCTATTTTCTGTCTCTATGATTTGGATTGCTCACCTACCTCACATAAGTAGGATCTTATTTGTCTCTTTGTAACTGACTTATTTCACATAATATAATGTCTTCAGACTTCTTTCATGTTGTGGCCTGTGTCTGCGTTCCTTCTTTTTTAAGGCTGAATAACATTCCATTGTATGTATGTACCACATTTTGTCTGTCCATCCATTCATCAATGGACTTTTTGGGTTGTTTCTCCTCCTTGGCTGTTGGGAATGATGCTACTAGGAACATGGGTGGACCAGTGTGGCTTTAAAAACACTTTACAAAGAGGCAAGACCAATTAAGACCATGGTCTCTAGAAATTCTACTTTTAGAGGTTTATCCTAAGGACATACCTATGAATATGGGCAGAAATTTAAAGTACAAGTTGTTTTTTTTTTTTTAACAAAACATTAAAAACCTAGGTATTCAGTAATAGCACAGTGCTTAGTACCATATTCACAATGTAGACTATCATACAGCCAATAAAAGTTTAGGTGTGAGTTCATTGCAAGAGATTTTTAAATGGGAAGAGAATAAGTTACTCAAGGGAGCTAAGGTTATTTGTTATAAGAGATGAGATGATAGGGATTTTAAAAATTGTTTTTAAACTTTTTGATCTTTGATGATGATGTATTGCTTTTTAATTACATTTCTTGGGAAGGAACTTGCGTTTTAAGGTTATTAAGCCTTGAGCCTCCACTTTGTGACATTGGAGTGACATTGGTCTCAGGGCGCCAGTTCCTTTTATCTGTATGTAACATGTAACAGTACCCACACTTTGAGGCTGGGTGTGGTGGCTCATGCCTGTAATCCTAGCACTCTTCAAAGCCGAGGAGGGTAGGTGGCCTAAGCTCAGGAGTTTGAGACCGGTCTGAGCAAGAGTGAGACCCTTGTCTCTAAAAATAGCCAGTGTTGTGGTAGGTTCCTGTAGTTCTGGTTACTTGGGAGGCTGAGACAAGAGGATCACTTGAGCCCAGAAATTTGAGGTTGCTGTGAGCTAGGATGCCATAGCATTCCACCAAGGGTAACAAAGTGAGACACTGTCTTAAAAAAAAAATCCAGTACCTACACCCCCACACTTACTCCCTTCTACAAAAAATTCTAATCCTTAAATATCCATTCTGTGCTTCAGATAAAAAAAAATCATTAGATCTGTGTTAAATCCAAGGGGAAAGTCAGCACCAACAAACCATTAGACACCGGTGCTAAGTGCCGTGCGGCTGCAGAGGAGGCTGCAGAGGAGGTAGCATTTAGCTCAGTTAGGGGTGGGGTGGAGTAGAGAGCAGACAAGGCTCAGAGAAAAAGCCTGAGCTGGAGGATTGTGAGCATTTCAGGCTGGGTGGAGAATTAAAGCCAGTTTGACATGAGTAGTGTGCCAAGTCTGGTGTGGGCCGTGGCTGGCTTGGAAATGCCAGTTTAGGGAATTCAAGTGGAGACCAGCTGGGTTTGGAGAAGATTAAGGTATGTTTTGAATGCCCATTATTGAATTTCCTAGGACATCTAAGTGACTACCTGTGATGGAAGGTCTGAATGTTGAGCTCAGGGTTGGACTCAGATTTGAGAGTCACACGCCTGCCTGAGAGCAGTAATCCTCCTGCAGCTGAGACAGCACTCAGTGATCCTGAAAGACTTGAGATTTAGCTCGAATGAGTAAGGCAGTAACTTTGATGACTCAGAAATTAAACAGCACTAAGTGCATATTTCTGGGACTTGGAAAACCAATGTTTCCATTTGCTCAGTGTGTGCACAGGGCAGGCAGCAAGAGAAGCGTTTTTTTTTGCTCAGCAGCTGTTTGAAATCAGCTTTTGTGGAATTTTAACTTCCTGGCTTCCAAGCAAACTTGGCAGTATGTAGAGCAGTGGTAAGCAAGGTTCACTGTTGTTCTTGGGGCTATTTTTTTTTTTTTAATTGGGCTTAAAAAAATTAAGCGTGAGTGCCGAGCAGCAACAGCTGGCTCTGCTCTTCCCAGCCTCGGTGTGGGTGGTTTCTGAACAACCCTGTTTCCTCTGTGGCAGCGCCCTGAAGGAGTTTGAGCAGGTGCCGGGACACTTGACTGACCAGCGCCACCTGTTCTCCCTGGAGGACCTAGTCAGGATCAAGAAGGGGCTGGTGGCGCCCTTGCTCAAGAACATTCTGAAAGTTTCCCTCCTGCACGTGGCCAGCTGTGAGGTGAGGATTCTCCGGGAGCAATCCCCGAGCTGTCCTTTCTTCACCAGGGCCTCTTCTGGGCGTTCTGCATTTGACCTTACTTAACTCTCGCAAACCCTGAAGGAAGTGCTGGTGACACCCTAGATGAGAAAACTGGGGTTCAGAACTGTGAAGAATCAGGCAGAACTGAGCTGCAGCGTGAGCCTGGGCCAAGTGACTTCAAAGTCTGAGTGTCCAGCCTGGCTTAGGGCTCCCTCTGTCCTGATGTACCAAATCTCTTGGCCATGTGGACTCAGGATTTGATGGAGCGTGAAGCTGTGTGTCTACGTGGCCTAAAGAATTCTAGTGCAGCAAACAGAAATGAAATGAGATCATTTAAGAACACATGTTTTAAACTATGATCTTTTCTGGGAATTTAAAACTGCCTTGTTATGAAATGGATGAAGGTGCGTTATTTTTGTTTCTGATCCATTCATCGCTGCAGAATGTTATCTTTTTTCCTTTTAGAGGCTAGAATCACAGACATTCAAAACTTGATGCTTTTGAGAGTTCTGTAAAAGTGACTGACAGCTTCTCTATCAAGGGAATTACCCATGTGGATGATCACTTTTGATGCTTTCTTTTACAGCTGTGTCAAGGAAAGGGCTTTATCTGTGAATTTTGCCAGAACTCGACTGTCATCTTCCCATTTCAGACTGGAACGTGCAGAAGATGTTCAGGTAGCTGAATAACATAATGGAAAGCTTAACGACAGCTTAGTAACTTGAATGCAGAGCTGATTTAAATTTAGTAACAAGCAAAACATTAACTTAAGCTGAATAAATAGCTTAATAACTTAGGTAGAGTTTGTTTCTTTAAAGTACAATTATGAGCTCAGTGCCTATAGCCAGTGGTTACAGTGCCAGCCACATATACCGAGGATTGCGGATTCAAACCCGGCCTGGGCCTGCTAAACAACAATGACAACTGCAACAAAAAATAGCCAGGTGTTGTGTTGGGAGCCTATAGTCCCAGCTACTTGGGAGGCTGAGGCAAGAGAATCACTTAAGCCCAAGAGTTGGAGGTTGCTGTGATCTGTGACACCATAGCACTCTACCAAGGGCAATGTAGTGAGACTCTGTCTCAGAAAAAAAAAAAGAAAGTATGATTATGCTGGTGTGTGCTTATATGTTGGATCGGAGATACTAAAGTTCTAGGCACAGGAGAAGGAGCATTTGGGTAGGGCAGGGACAAAGGATTATGGCTCCTGATACAGGGTTTGGACAGAAGAGACTGTTCCTTGTTGCCTCTGCCTGCCCCTGTATTGTAACTGGAGCACATTCACGTCCGAGGTGGAAGTGTTTCTGGCTGCTTTTGCACTGCAGTGGCAGAGTTGAGTAGCTATCATAAGGGCCATATGGCCCACAAAGTCTAAAACATTTACAGAAAGGGTTGCAAATTCTTGTTCTACTGCATTAGTGCCCAAGGGAATCCCATGCTTTTTAAACCCCGTTTCATAGAGAGATCGTGGTAATGAACTCTGCCTTCACCCTTGATATGGGCAGGTCCTCTTCTTAGGCCAGTCTGGTGTCTCCCCTAACTCTTTAGGCCAGGGGTCCTCCCACTTTTTAAACAGGGGGTCAGTTCACTGTCCCTCAGACCATTGGAGGGCTGGACTATAGTTTACAACGACAGGCAGAGGTTAAGTAGGACAGACAGCGGTGGCAAAAACACCCGGTGGGCCGGTTAAATGTCCTTGGCAGGCCGCATGTGGCCTGTGGGCTGTAGCTTGAGGACACCTGCTACGCAGTGTTGTAGGATGAGTTCCCCAGCATAGAGACTCTGAGACCGGGATTTGTGCAGAAAGTTGCATCTTTTCTGGCTCAATGCCTATAGGGGTGTGAAGGTGGCAACATGGAACAACGTAACTATATGACATTGAATATTGCAGCAGTGCTCATCCCATCTCATGGGGAGCTCTGGAGCTGGGTGACCTTTCAGCATTGTTCCAAACTGGGGATAGTGGGCTTGCCAAGCCTTTAAATCCAACAATGACTGGTCACTGGATGTAGTCTGGTGCCAGGAAAGGCGCATGACCTTGGGTGAGGCAGCTCTCCCCGTTTAGAGCCATTTCCAGAGAAGCAATCTGCTTCCTAGAGCCGTCAGCCACTAAGTCTCATGGGCCTTAGTGCTTCAGCATATCTGAAGGGCACTTCACCGTCCACTAGGCTCTCTGAACCTCATGCTTATGACCTGTTGGGAGAACTAAAATCCCAGGGAGTTTCAGTCTGGCTGATTCCTTTTTGGAAGCTTCTAGGTTCTGGATTCGAACCCTTCTCTTCCTAGGATGGGGTGAGTGTCGTTAAGCATGTGAGAAAACAAGATAGTGCGTTTGCTGATGGCCGTGCTTCTTGCTTGCAGTGTGTGGGACTTGCTTTCACAAGCAGTGTTTCCGGTCCTCCAAGTGCCCCCGGTGCGCCAGGATGTCAGCTCGGAGAAGACTTTTGGAAAGTTTGCCCTCTGCAGCGACTTGATGCTTCTGAGCATTGTGAAAAAGACTTGTCACCATGCCTTAAGATCGCACCAATTTGTGTTTATCATTGATAACCTTTTAGGTATCAGGTATTGTATATGCAGAGAAAAAAGATGGCCAATATTCTCTTTATTGTATAGACTTAATGTTTTCTAAAAAAATGCAGATTCTTTATTATTAAGCATAAAGTTGTTACTAGTGGTTTGTTTACAGATGTTTAATACTTTTGCTGCTACCAGGTTTTTTTTTTTAGTTTTTTGATACTTCTTAAATTGTATTTGAATAGCTATATTTGGCTAATGCTGGAGCCAGTTTTTTCATATGTGTGAACTGTAACTGATGAATGACTCAATTCCTCTTCTTTGAAAGCTTGTTTGATAAAACTGACTGGTAGATTCAATGAACAAAAATGCAACCCCAAAATCTGTTTGCTCAGGCTTTTATTCATTCAAAACACAGACTTTCAGTTACGTGCCATTTGGTAAATGTATCAGTCTTACACATTTTATTCATCCCAGGGTTTGAATAGAAAGTGCACATTTCTTCTACAGTTAAATTTATTTCAAGATAAGAGTTGGTTGCAGTGGGTCTAGGTCTGGTTGAGGTGAAGTTTGAAGCAGTTGCCTCTAGATGGCACTCTTTCAGATGGAACAAATTGAACCTGTGTTTGTCATCTCTGCTCTCTACCCTGCTAAGTGAAGGGAGGC